AGTAAAGGGGGCATATTTTTACCTTGATGTAGAGTAGATCGAATTGCATTGTCCTCTAGAAATGTTAATGATGGTAAGCTGATTGGAAGGCAATTGAATCTCTCTGCAAGAATAGGTAAATTGTGGGTACAGTCAGTTGAGGCAGCTAGATCCCACATGGCCAGCTGCACGGTTCAAGTCCAAAACCTGGCAGCATGAAAAAACATGCTAAGTGTATGTGTATGCATGCCCAAAATCCTGAGAAGAGAATGGAAGAGAAGGGACTACAGCATAGTCGTATGCTTTCATACTTTCCCTGTATCTCTGGTGAAAAAAAAAGAAAAAAAGGTAAATTGTAAAGAATTTTCCAATTTTTAGCAAAGAGTGTGTTTTGGGAGCTCAGCATGGTCCCATGTTAATCTTTTCTTTTACAGTGGCCATCTCTTCATCTGTCACCCTGCTCTGCGTACTGTGTGTGGTCTCTCTTCTGGTGTGTTACATCAAATCCAGGTGAGTAGCACAGGAGAATCACCCTGGACAAGGTTCTTCTTTCCCACAAGGAGAGCTACATCATGATGATTGCAGGTGTCTTCTTCAAGGGAGAATCCCTTTCCTGACCAACTACTCCCATACTCACCAGCTCTGTTTCAGCCAGAAGGAGTGTCAGGGCTTAACAGCACTGAGAGCCCTAGAGGACCCTTCATTTCTGCACTCATGCTCACACCACCAGTCCAGTGGGAGGCTGCAAGATGATGACGCAGATGGCCAATTTACCAAAAGCCAATTCAGAAAGACATACTGCACCCAATGGTCAATCTGGTGAAGATACAATTTGTATCAATTCTTCCTATGATACAGTCATGAAAATAATAAGACATTTATAAGAGGAAAATATAAATATTTACTTACTTTTGAAAAAACTCATATTTTTTTTTTATTTTTTGAGAGGTTTTCACTATAGGGCGCGTGCGCTTGCCAGACAGACAGAGAGAGACAGAGAGACAGAAAGCGAGAAATCACCCCCCAGAGGGGATGGTCACGCTGCAATCCCTTCTCCTCCATTCTCCTCTTGGGATCTTGGGCACGCACGCACACGAGCCCGGCGTGAGTTTTGAAGCCACCAGGTCCAGGACGCGAACCGTGGTCGACCACGTGGGAGTCCAGTGACATAGCCATTACGCTAACTGTTGGTTCCCAAAACTCATAAATATATTTTTAAGAAGAACTAGAGATTTTGATACGTGTGATTGGTCATTTGGTGAATTTTGTCTGTAAACTGATTTTTTTTTTTTTTGCAAATTGGTTATTAAGTAATTTGCCAGCAAATTGGCATTTAGCTCACTGTTTTTGGTGAATTGACCTATAGGCCTAATTTATAACTCAGCTTTCATTCCAAGAAGTTCAAATTGCTGACCTTAAAATAATCTAAAAAGTTGCTTATCCTCCTGAAGAGATTATATAACCCATGGGAGGTGCTCAACACAGATACTCAAGGCCTAAAAACAGGTGGCTCCATGACAAACAGGCAGACATGTTATCTAAATGTGCTGCCTCTCCTACTCTTGTTATTCAGAAGCTAGTTAACATATTTAGTTGTTTATTTATTAACAATGCTAAGAACTGTGTTAAAAGCTTTATGCATGTTAAGTCATCTTTATCAAGATGATGATAAAGTGTAGTGTGGCCAAGATCCTGGCTATACTTTTCTTTTCTTGTTCCTGCCACTTGAATTTCTTTTTAGCATAAGATTGGCAAGTACAGAGTAGGGCTAAAGCTGGGGCCAAGGGTGGACTGAGTGGCTCTAACATCATGGTAATCTCTGCTGGGTGAGAAAGTTAAAAATATCAAAATAGGACTGCAATACCACCTTAGGCATTCTCTCTATCTCTGGGCAACATAGATCATTGAGAACTTCTTGACTCATGCAGGCAGGGGCTACATCACTAATGTAATCCACAGTGCTGCACATACATGTTCAACAGAAAGTTTCTGCTGACTGGAGGGTGACCCTTTCCCTTTCTGAAAACCTGTGGGTCATCTGCTTTGTAGGCGAACTCCCCAACCACCCAATGTTGAAATGGAAATCATGGAAGCCACGCCAATGACGGGTGAAACCAGCAGCCCACAGGAAGACCCAGAAAACTATCCACACAACCTCTGAAACTCAGGAGAAGTCAACCCAGCTACATTTAGGGCAAAGAAGGCTTTAGCTAAGGAGGATCTGGAAGAGACATAAGGAGTGAGGCACCAGGAAAAGGCCCACCAGTATAAACAAATGTCCTGCTGTGATCTACCAACTATGCCCTGCTAGGTGCCTCCTGCAGGAGTGAATAGGTTCTTGAGCACTGGGATGCACACTGGCTGCCCACTCGCCTGCCCACTCACCTGCTCACCTGCCTCAGGTGCAGAGGACAGCTTTCCAAAGCCCAAGCAGCTAAAGCTCGCCTTGAGGAAGCAGAAGACTCAAGTCAGGTTATGACATTGATTCAGGACAACTTATCAGCCTGTCCCTCATTCTGACTTGTGGTTTATAGAAAAACAGTGCTATGTATGAGGCTGTAAAAGCTCCTTACAAAGTTCCTCTCGGCCTGGGACATGACTAGAGGGAGGATACCAACACTTGAACGCCTAAGAACTCGGTTTCCAGGTGCACTGCATGAGGTGAATGGGAGTGAGGAAAGTGAAAGAGACATGGAATACAGTGACTCTTCTTGGTTTAAGGATTCACAAAGAAGAAAACTGAACACAGTGACATTTTACATACACATGCATCTGTACCTCCTTGTCCGTTGTGTAATATGTAGATACATATTATAATGATTTGTATTTTGAGATTGTCCCTTGTATAAATAAAATAAAACATCTATTTTCAGTACAAAAAAATGCACGAAGAGAATCGCTAAAGAGAAATGTTGCACAAAGGAAAAAAAGAGTGTATGGAATGCAGAATGCAAAATTACTCAGCACAAGTATTCTTTCTAAAAAGTGAGAAGTTTGCCTAAGCTGGTTCAAATCTCTTTTGGGGGATTTCTAACAATCTCCATGTGAAGAGAAGCAACATGATCTAAGATATTTGGTGGCAGCTAGCTGAGTAATGTACACTTGGCCTCTCTACCCTTTCCCGATGCTTTTTTCTCTCCTCCTTTGTTACTTATGATTTATTTTTTAAATCATAGGCCTAATTTCACCTCATGTTACAGATGAGAACACTGAGGCCTAGCTCACACATCTTCATTAATGTCAGAACCTGAACAGAGCTGGGGCTGGGGAAAGAGCAGGAGAGGAGTGGCCTCGACTATAAACCAGTGACCAAGTGCCTCTTACGTCCCCAAAAGGAAAATAGCCAGAAGTGTTTGGGAGGTGGAACATGGGCCCAACACCCGTTTCACAAGATACCAGAGGCTCTCAAAGTGCCATTTCTCATTGCCATCTGCATGGCATCAGTTTAATTTCAGAAAATTTGAAAGTTCTACAGCTATTAAGCCTTCATTCAGTCCAGATGTTTTCATCTGGCTGCAAATCTAAATCATTTACACTTTGTCTTTTTCCCTCATTTCCTGCTCTCTACAACATTTGCCATAAAGAAAATGGATCACTCATATTTGTATTATTTATTTATTCTTTGTTAAAAGAGGTTTTTGCTATAGGGCACGTGCACTAGCCAAAAAGACAGAGACAGAGAGACAGAAAGTGAAAAATCACCCCCCGGGGGGATGGCCGTGCCGCAATCCCTTCTCCTCCATTCTCCTCTCAGGATCTTAGACACACACGCACACATACCCGGCATGAGTTTAAGCCAATGGGTCCTGGACTCAAACTGTGGTCGATTACATAGGAGTCTAGCAACATAGCTATTACGCCAATTACAGGACCAGCAGGTCCCTGTATTTTTTATTTTGCCTTGATTTTCCTTAGTCTAGAATAAGACATTTACCTTTCTCTTAAAACCCTCTTATAATCATGAGGAAGTAGGAGGGAAGGGACTAAAAGATACATTTAAGAATCTTTCCAAGTTTCCAGTTGTACACTCTGGTTTTTTTAAAACCATTATTTATTATTATTATTATTTTACGATTTGACCAGAAACAGACAGATAGAGAGGGAAAGTGAGAAAGCACGCTACCAGGTACAAGGCTTGAATGGCAGTCAACCATGTGGGAGTCCAGCACCTTTAACCACCATACCACCTGCTGGCCCCCACTCCATTTTCCTTATTAAGAACCTTTTACTACTAGCTACATTCCAACCCCAGAATTTAAAAAGACAGCTTAGGCTCTGTCATTTTGTCATTATTTTCCCACAAGTCTGTGCTTCTTTGAGGCAGGCTCAGCCTAGACCATATCATAATATCCTTAACACCTCATACTACCTGGCACATGTCAGAACACAGTGTGTGAATATTTTCCCTGAAGTTATAAATATTAAACATTATATTTATGGGGCAATCTGATTTACACCTCCCTCTCCAAAATGCCTGTCTACACATAAATCTACACATTTTACTTTTGTTATTCTTAGCTATCCAGGATGTAACACACACTCCTCTCCAACTTCAGAAGCCTTCCAACATGTTGCAGTTCCTCATCACCCACTAATGCAAAGGGGCTAACAAGGTGTTAGCCTGGTGTGGGCACCTGACCTGCATTGGCCAACAGAGCCTCTCATAGGGGGCTTAAGAGATGATACAGAGCCGTGCCCAGCAATAGCCTGACAAGTATCAACGTGGGTGTATGTTTCCTATTCCTTGGCTCTCCCTCCAGGAGCTCTGGTTCCTATCCATTTCCCAAGCCCAATCTTCCCAACTTTCTGTTATTTGATGAGCCCATGATATTCTTTCAATACATTTTTTTCTCCCTCTCCCACTTTGAACAGATTCCATTTCCATTACTTATCACTGAAAAATTCCTAAGTCATATGAATTTTGGTACCAGAAGTGGGTATTGCAAATTACAGAGAAGTAGGAAAATCAGGGAGGTATGCAATTGGTTATCTGCTTTAGAAAGGATAGAAAAGAATTAAGTTCTGCTGATATTCTGAGATAAGGATAGAGCATCCCATGGCATGCAGTAAATTAGTTTATCAGAAATTACTTGGGATGGACTGTCCACTAAAAGCCTCACCCTAGAAGACGGCATTACTTCCATCCCCAAGTGGTATGGGTAAGAGAAATCCAACAGCACAGGTGGCTACTTTAATGGCACTGAGAAATCTTAGAAAAGGGAATGAGAAGTGGGGCCAATAGGTGGCATAGTAGTTAAGGCAGCTGGACTCCCACGTGGGTGACCCTGGTTTGAGTCCCAGACCTGGCAACTTGCTTTCTCACTTTCCCTCTCTGTCTCTCTTTGGTTGACTTTTAAAAATAAAATAAAGTGACAATGAATATAATTAAATAATTCTTTTAAAAAAGGGAGGGGAATAAAAAGCTCAAAGCCCTGAGGTCTCAATTCAAGCCACAGGCTGAAACCTACATACTTCTATAACTATCCTGAATTTTATCTCAAAAATTGTTAGAGTTTAAATAACGGTTTGTCCTCCAAAAGTTCATGTATTGGGACTTGGTTGTACTGGAAAGGGGTTCAATGAAAACTTAATGCTGGGACCAGTAGATGGCATAATGATTATGTCGCTGAACTCCCACATAGTTTACCATGATTCGAGTCCCAGATCCAGCAGGTTCAAACTCACGCTGGGTACATGTGCCTGTGTGCCCAAATTCCCAAGAGGAGAATGGAGGCAGAGTGGCCTTCCCCCCTAGGGGGTGATTTCTTGCTTTCTGTCTCTTTTGACTCTCTAGTGAGCACATGTACACTAGAACAAAAATCTCTCTGAAAGGAAGGAAGGAAGGCAGGCAGGCAGGCAGGCAGGCAGGCAGGCAGGAAGGAAGGAAGGAAGGAAGGAAGAAAACTTAATGCCTTCATGGTATCCTAGGGTGGGGTCTTTGGTTGTGGTATGGTCATTAGGGTTGAGGGCCCCTATATTTGAGTTCTGGCAGGATTACAAGCAGGGAAGGAAACCAGAACAGGCAGAAACTTAGCTGCTATGCTCAAGATCCTGCCTCCACCAAATTGTAAGACTCACTAGAAATTGGTCCCTGGGCCTCAGACCTCCCAACTGTGAGCTGAATAAACATCTATTTATTGTGACCCAGCCTCAGGTATTTGTTAGCAATACAACAATGGACTAAGAGAGAAATGCAAAGTCAACAAATCCAAAAAATGCAACAGAAGAATCTGAACCCATAAGTTGTTGAGTAATAGCTCAATTTTCCCCCTGCCAACTTTCTTGGCTGAAAGGCAGAGCATTGCTTGGATAAGGATGGAGCCCCCATATTGGAATGAAGACACAGGGGAAAAATCTAGAGGGCTCACAAGAATTTCACCTTCCTCCCCTTCTCCCTTGTCCTCCAACAGTCCTATTTTGTCTGATAAGGCTGTAACTTTCCAGAGGAAGTCTGTTCTCATGACCCACCTCCACCTTCTCCTGGCCTGCCAGGCCGTGGGATCCCTTGAAGTGACCTAGTCAACCGGAGAAACAGCTCCCCTGTGGACATATAGACCTGCCCTGTGCCTCTGCCATCATTACCCCTCTGGGCAATACCCAGCCTGTTCTGCCACTTTATCTATATCCAATCCACCTTTCAAGAGCCAGCTCAATTTTTACCTTCCTCAAGAAGCCTTAACTACTCAAATGTGCAAAATTGTCTGCCTCTGAGTTCCTGTAACATCTATTGTCTTTTCTACTAATGTGGCATCTGCTAAATGCTACATTTTTTTTTGGAGAGATTTTCGCTATAGGGCATGTGTGCTCGCCAGACAGACAGAGACAGACATAGAGACAGAAAGCGAGACATCACCGTCATGCCACAATCCCTTCTCCTTCTCCTCTCGGGATCTTGGGCACGCACGCACATGCACCCGGCGTGAGTTTTAAGCCACTGGGTCCAGGATGCGAACCGCGGTCGACTATGTGGGAGTCCAGCGACATAGCCATTACACTAACTGCTGGTTCCCCTAAATGCTACCTTTGTTCTTAAAAAACCTGAGTGTCCGGTGTCAATTCTACAGCTCTGTCATTTGGAGGAGTCACTCAGCCATATGGACTGACATTGCCTCCTCTTCAAAGTGGAGCTGAAGGCACATGTAACGCCTTCTCACAAAGATGGGTAGTCAAATGAAATACTAGAAAGCACTTTATAAATGGGTGTGTATCTCTCCTTTTTCTAGACACAAGAGGCCTGGTGCTTATCAAGGTCAGAAATAAGACAAATCAAAACAAACATAACAAAACCAAAACCTTATGCTGCAAGTTAGTGGGCAACAAATACCATGTGAGCTTTAAACACAGGGATGACACTCAAGTCTAGTAAAGGCAGTGCTCACTAAAAGGCTTGGACATCTGAGGAGTATGTGAGACACAATGGGGCGTGAGTTGGAAGGATGGGTGGAATTTAAATGCACAAGCAGAAAACATGCTAAATGGGACGTGAGAGGCAAAGATGCAAATGGGAAAGCTGGCAACATGTTCGAGTAAGGAGCACAGCAGTTGGGCAGACAGGCTAATGTGGATGTGAGAAGCCAGACTGGGAAGCCTCTGCTGTTTCCTACCAGCCTCTTAGTAGCAGGGTTCTGGGAGGCCTGCTCGGAAACTGTTAAACAAAACTGAAACAAGCGCTGCCCTGAAGAGCAAAGGTCTTACAAGACTGAATGCAATCAGCAGAACCTTGGGATCTCTGCCAAAATCCTGACCACTCCCCAGGGAGATGACCTCATCATGGACATAGGTGTCTTTCTTCCTAGGAAAGAGAGCCAAAAGCACTAACTACAAAACAGCAGTGTGATCTTCAAAGCCCCTTTTGAGATAAATGCAACCCAGAGGGTATCCGATTGCTCCAGGCCCAAGTGGTCTGAGGTCAGCTGGCCTGCCTGTGGCTGCTGATGTTTTCCAAGTATCCCAAGAAGCCTTAAAGACTCCAAAGAAACCTTAGGGGCAGCCTAGGATTGAGAGCTTAGAGAGAGTTCTGAGCAGCCACCACCAGTCCTGTAAAATTATAGACCAGGCCAGCCTGTGCTGGCCTGGTGGTGAAGTGAATTGGATCTCCACATGGCTGACTACACAGTTGAGTCTTGGAAAAGGTGGCTGCAACAAAACGCCAAGCAGGTGTGCGTGCATGTCCAAAATCACAAAAGGAGGGAGATACGGAAGAAAAGGGATTGCACGATTCCCAGGTGGAGGGTGCTTTCTTATTTTTTCCCATGCTATGTTCTGCCCCCATCCTCTCTCTGGGTGTAAATGCCTTCTAGTGAATTTTTTTTTTTTTAAATCACTGCACCTACTCTTTCAGTTTTTTTTTTTCCCTTCCAAGAGAAAGAGAGAGAGAGAGAGAGAGGGAGAGAGAGCGAGAGGGAGGGAGAGAGGGAGGGAGGAAGGGAGAGAGAGAGAGAACCCTCAACAGGGTTTTCATGCCATAACCCATCCCTACTCTCAGCTAGCCTGGATCACAGGCACAATCATGCATACAGCAGGCATGCTCAAGGAGGTTCAGGACATGACTTCAAGACCTTTCCCATATGAGCCCAGCTGCATTTCCACTGCACCATCATCAGGCCCTTACACTTTTTCATTGGAAGTATGGTTTGAAGAATCTCATGTCTAAGAATATCTGAAGGTCTTCTACGCTATTTAATGAGATTTTTTTTGAGAGAGAGGTTTTTGCTATAGGGTGCGTGCGCTAACTGGAAAGATAGAGACAGAGCGACAGAAAGCGAGAAATCACCCCCCAGGGGGAATGACCACACCACAATCCCTTCTCCATTCTCCTCTCTGGATCTTGGGCACACACGTATACATGCCCGGCGTGAGTTTAAGCCACCGGGTCTGGGAATCGAATCGCTCTTAACTACATGGGAGTCCAGCGACATAGCCATTATATTAACTGCTGGTCCCTAATGAGATTGTTTGTGAAAGAGTTCTAATTCTAACTCTTCTTGTGGAAATTTCTTGGGCCTGTGGACTGTGCTGGAGTTTTCATACTCTCTTCTATTTGACACTGAGCAGTGGTCTAGGTCCCTTTATTCTCTGGAGATTCTGTCATCAGTTTTCCAGTTTTTTCCCCCTAAAAAATTAATTTTATTGTTATTTTTTAATGTGACTAAAGACACACACACACACACACAGACACACAGAGAGTGCTCCTAGGTCCGGGGCTCAAACCGCGGTCAGTCATAAAGGAGTCCAGTGCCTTAACCACCATACTACCTGCCAGCCTCTGCTTCCCATTTTTGTTGTGAGGACAAAGTTAAAAGTATCCATAGGGCTAAATACCATCTACCTGATAGAGGCACTTAATAAGTATTGGTTTTATTTCAAAATAAGACCTATTTATATATTGGATGGTCAGGTAAGGGTGGCTGCCTACCCTCCTTGTTCCTTCTGAGTGGATACCTATTTTATTTTACTTTAACATTTTTTATTAGTATTATTATTTATACATTCGTTATACATCATTTAGATTGTAAAGAGACTTTACCCAGCATGATATACACCTCAATCCAGCAATGTTGAGAATACTATACATGTCATCATCAACAGGTAATAAGCCATATCTGTATCCCGAAAATATCTTACCTATTTCTTCCCCAAAATTTCCTTTCCTATGCTCTTCCCCTCTCCCACTCTCCTTCCACTTTGCCCCTAGTTCTATAACAATTTTCAATGCTTTTATGTCCTCCAGTCTTTGTCTCTACCAAAGCATGTAGATAGTTGGTATATGTTACATGGAGACATACAATGTCTGTTTTATAGCCTGACTTGCTTCACTCAGCATTAAGAGTGAATTTCTATCCTTTAAGAATTTATTTTATTTCACAAGTCATGTGCCTCAAAGGAAGCTGACTTCTCCCAAGCCCCTGGAAAGAACATTTTGGTAAGGTTAAGCCATTTTGCTTTGCCAGTGACTCATTTAGGAATGGGTAGGTGACCCAATTCTAACCAATGAGATGTGAGGTTAGCTGGAGAAGTTTCTGGGAAAAGTATTCTTCCTTCTAAGAAACCCAGAAAATAAGCTGACCCTTCCTTTTGGTGCTGTAGGCAGCTGGTCAGAAGAGCCTTGGGACAAAGCTGACACCCTAAGAATGGAAGGAAGAAAACAAAGTACCAGGGTTCTCAGCAACACCATGAAGCTGCTGAGATGGGCACCCCTATAACCTGCCCTCCTTGGGAACTTTGGTGAACTCATAACACTTCTGTTTAGTGCCATGGAGTTGTGCTTTCGGTTTACCAAGAGCCCAAAATATCCTGATAGGGATATTAAAGAAATTGGGGATGCTGTAAGAGACACTAAAATGTGGAGTTGGCTGAGCAGCAGAGGCAAGACAGATAGTCGTGAGGGCCCTACTGTGTTTAAATTAGGACATCAGCAACCTTTTGTTATATGAATATAAAACAACAGATTAAAATGTAACCTGGTTACCATGGGGCCTGGATTTGGAAAATATATATTAAGGAAATGATAACTAAAAAACAAATCCAGACTCTTTGGATTATACATTTTAAAGAGAAAAAGAAGAAGAGGAATAATCTAGAATCTGTCTGGATTAATTCTACGTTGGCTACTTCTTGGGGCCCACAGTAGATGTCTTCGAAGATAATCTTGGAGTATAGGTAGCCAGCCTGAAAGTAGAGAGGAAAACCCAGCTTTTCTGCCTATAGTCCAATTTAGGCTGACATTCAAATTACAGAGAAAAAGGCTCTAAAAGCCAGTTTGAACCAGGAGGATGGCATTAAGATTGCACATCCTTCTATGTGGAAAATGAAAGAGACGAGCTAGAGTGAAAATGAAGGATGACAGCTGAAGGATGTTGGCAGCTCAGGTGGAATGAGACAGTGGCCTGGTCCAAGAAGCAGAATAGGTGAAGAGATGTGGGTGGATTCAGCATATGTTCTAGGGTAAAGTCAGAAGAACTTACTGATGTAGAGAACATGAAGAGTCGCAGACTCAAGTTACTGAGTGGACATAAATCTGTGGACTGAAGTAGAGAAGATATGGGAGGAGCCAGATGCAGTGGAGAACAAATTAAGGGGTGAGGCAGTCAGACAATTGAGTGTGAAGAGCCATCTTTCCTACCCTAGGCCATGTCAGTAGGAAGACAAAATATACAAACTCACTGGTGATGAGAAATATGGGGGACAGCAAGCACTGGGCTCTCTTGGAGAATCTGTAATTAGCTCAAGGAACAAGGAAGCAAGTCCCTTCTGAACGCTAAGAACGTGTGTGCACTATATGCATCTTAAGGTGTTTAGAGGGAGCTCAAGTAGGGGTGCATTATGTCATGAGGTCTTCATCTACGGCAGTGGGCTGGAGGGACTCTGCTGAAGACCCAAAGCTATCAGTTTTCAGTCTCTTGGGATATTCCACATGCCCCCAAATCCTGAGAGTCAGAATGACCAGAGAAGGATAGATAGACAAAGATCAGACCGGAAAACATGACACTGCAAGGGGCCTGATTTTAGATAATCAGTATCCCTGTCTGGTCAACTGGGTTGCTCCCAGAGGCAGAGCAGATGCCTCTGTAGGATGGAGCAGGGTATATTGTGTGTGCACAGAGACTGGGCTCCCTGGCAGGATGTTCTACGTGGGGCTTTGCGCATTTTTCTACTTCTGTGTTTACTAAACAGTGTTTGAATCTAACCATTGACATCTCTGCTCCCATACCTAAGTTTCTAGAGGAAAAAATACACATCCACTGAAAGGATAGTGTTGAATTTCATCTTGGTTAATGCTAACTCACAATTCTGACTGTTGTCATCTTCCACTGCATTCGCTTCTACATCGGTCCTGCATCTATACCCAAAATATTGTCAAGATGGAGAAAGAAAAATTGCACCATCACCATGTCCTTCATTGGGGGATGCTCTCTCTTTGATGAGCACATGTGTTCTCTGGGAATAAGAATAAATAAATAAATAGTAAGAGCAGAGCACTAAAGATGTGTATGAAACTGAAAATCTGGTAGGATTTGTTCCATGAGGTAATCTGGTCAGCTTATATTCTTAGGAACCTCTAATGTCACTGTCAATGTTTTCATTGAAGCTGGGTAGAGTCTCTACAGAAGGAAATGTCAATCTCTCAGAGAGGACATATATGCTCTCCAATTCCTAAAGTTTGTGTCCATTCTCTTTTCTGATTTCTTTGTTCTTATGGCTTAAAAAAAAGTCCTTCTTAGGGACCAGCAGTTAGCGTAATGGCTATGTCACTAGACTCCTACGTAGTTGACTATGGTCAAGTCCCGGACCTGGCGGCTTAAACTCACGCTGGGCGCGTGTGCGTGCATGCCCAAGATCCCAAGAGAAGAATGGAGAAGAGATTGCGATGTGGCCATCCCCCCTGGGGGGTGATTTCTCACTTTCTATCTCTCTGGTGAGCGCACGCACCCTATAGCGAAAACCTCTCAAAAAAAAAAACCAAGTCCTTCTTGTCATCATTTTAGTATGGTTTAAGGAAGAAACCAAAGTAAATACATACGTGCAACCCTCAAATTACCAGAAATTACACACTGACATTTTAGCCACTGAAGTCTGTTTACTGTCAGTTTCTGGCCTTGCTGAAATTGCTCAGCTATTGAGAAGCACTGACTTTCACAGTGTGAAAGTTAAAGGACCGTCTCATCATCCCTAGTTTATTGGTCTCTTTTTAGCATTGGATACCAAAGAGCACTTTCTCCTTAAGCGGATTCCTCTCTTGAGTTCAGTAATAACTCTCTCATGAGGGCCATTCCTCTCAAATCAGTTGTCAATCTTCTTCACAAAACCCTCTTCCTTCCTTTACCCCAAGCCTGTGTTCCTCAGGCTGTTTTCTTGAATCTCTGCTCTTATCCTTTATACTTCTGGGATAAACTTGTCAAAACCTTTACATTTAACTATCTTACCTACCACATACATACTGACAACTCTAAAACCTCTACTTCCAGCCCAAGGCTCTTTGGTGAAATACAGATCTGCTTACCCAATGATCTCCTAGAACATTCTAGTTGGATGTCTCACAAGTATTCCTAAACGTTAACATGCCCAAAATCAAACTCATCACTTTTACACAAACCTGTGACACCTTCCTTTTTCTGTCACAAGGGTACCCTCATCTACTTGCAGAACCAACCAGAAAACAGGGAGTCATACTGAGGTGCTATTGTGGAGTTGCCACCTCATCTAAGCACTAAGTCCTATGGATTCTACTGTCTTAATTTATCAAGAGCAGAAATTCTTAAAATTCAGTGTGCTCAGAGTCACCCACAGGGCCTATCCAATGCCAAGTGCTGGGCTGCACCCTCAGAGTGAGCTGAAGGTCTATGGTGGGGAGACCAATGGTGCTGTCCAGGCACCCAACATTTGGAACCACAGAGCTATGTGTCCACTCCCTCATCACCAGCCCCACTGCAACTGCAGTTTCCAGCTTACTAGCTGTCAAACTTTGCTGAGATCACAACCATTAGCCTTTTCATTGATCTGACCATCTTAAAGACCCCTCCAAACTGTAACTGGAATGATTCTCCTGAAAAGATGTTATAAGATCTTGACTCTGCTCGACTTGACTCAGAGACTTATGTCATAAAATCTTTGGTGGTGCCATGTCATCCCCTCCAGCTGCCATCAGCATCCTGAAACTCTTAAATGGCAAAATGTCAGATTCTAGATCCATACACACTTATGTGATGAGAGTTTTCCAACTGGTAGCTTCTATGATAATTTATTACGACACAACCTGGAAACCCCAGTGCAGTGAACTAGGTTCCCATCTCTCATCTACTGTCTCCTCCAAAGCAGCTAGCCACCTCCGCATTCCCTCCCAAGTGTTGTTGATCATCAGTTTTACTTGCAGGGAACACGAGAAGTCTAGTTACTATCATCTTGCATTTGTCTTTCATGTATGGCATCACCTTCCTGTTTAAGCTGTGAGTCTCATAATGGCAAAGGCTCACACTACATTTACACATGCGTGACGCCCCATAGCACAACAGTCTCATTTTTGGCATGTTAATTATCACCCTAGACGTTAAGTATCACTCTGCTTCATGTGTCATGTAAACAGTAAGGAGCTGTTGAAAAGTGTAAAACTGGTTTCTATTAAAAAGAGGGAATTCAAAGACATTCAAAAATAGCACTGAAGCCAATGTCCCACAGTGGTATGCAGTGCTATGATGCCTGTTTAATTGAAATCTTGTAATAAAAGTTTAAATACATAAAATGTGTTTTTTTTTTTTTTTTATCAAAAGAACCTCCCATCTTTCCCACCCTGATGCATATGGAGGATAGGCAAGTGGAAGCTGGCTCTCTGTAGGGAATGGAGAGATGGCAGGCCCAGCTCTGGTTGGCTTCTTCTTCCTCAGAAAGTGCTCTGTGAGTGAGCTCGGAGTCTCGGGGGAGTGGGAACCCTACCCCACACTGGCTTTCTTCCATACTTGAAGTTCACAGCCAGCCATGCTGTACCACGGAGAATGCGCAGTCTCAGAAGACAAGGAAGAGCAGGGCTTCATGTCTAGGCAGCACTATGTTTTCCACGGTGCGTTCCATGGAGCGCACCTGCTCTGGAGAGGCAGTTAAGAATGCCAGAGGCCCAATCCTCTGCTCTGCACAAGAGTGACAGAGGTAGCCACCCTTGTTTTCCTTCCTGTTGCTCTGCAATAATGGGTAAAACAAAGAGATAAAGTAACAATCAAAGAAATAAAATAAAGTAACAATCTCACTAAAAAGTGCCATCATTATCATAGCTGCCCAGGGACAACACGTCACGATCCTGATGTTTTCAAACCTGTGTGAATCCTCTGCTGTAATACTCCCTATGCCACTATCGTCTAGGGTAGATTCTACTCCACTACATTCCCTCAGAGCAAAAACTGTAACTTCTTCACTCAAAAGATGAATCAGCAAAAAATACTGAACCAGGCCTTCTGGGTAAATAGTTCTTTTATGTGTCCAGCTACAACCCAATTTCCTGGACTGAAAGGCTCTGGCATGTCCACATGATTCTTAATTACACTGTGTCTTGTCATACTGTCTCCAGCATGTGGGCAGACTTCACATCCCTTGTGCCACATAAATAAAGAGCCCTGAATAAAGGATTACATATATTTCTCTCTTCTCTCCTTCCTCTGCTACTCAGATAAGCACGTAGCTCAAAAGCAATAAAATGCCAACAAATGAATTAAACTATCCAGAGAGCGAATGCTGTTATTGTCAACACCACGTACATAGGTGATAGGGAGCTTCTTCATGGTGAGGACGGTGTCCACAGGGATGGCATTGTTACACTGCCCCACGCAGCAGCGAACCACTCCCATTTTTAAAACATTACTTGTCAGCTCTGCTTGCAAGAAGTATTCCTGAAAAGGAAAAAGGGAGAAAGAGAATAATAGAAACTCTAACAACTAATAAGCTGTAAGCACTGTTTACTCAAACCCTGAGTCCCTGAACGAGAAGAAAAGAACAGAAACTCCAGCAACTAAGGAGCTGTAAGCACCAGCTAGATGAATCCTGAGTCCCAGAATGAGAAAAACACTGACTTTTCCATTTTCTTTAGTTTCTCAAACTGATCCTTGCCTCCAAAGCATCAACAGAGAACACTTAATATGCCAACTAGCTTCTTGGTAAACTTGATAGTTTGAAAAATGAAAAAGATTTAATGGAAAAACATGTAAAACTATTGCCTGCAATATTTCAGAACTCCTTCTGGATTACCTTATGTTAACCCATCCCCCACTGAATCATTGGAAAACTATTTGTATGTTCATTTTATAATCCAAGTAAGCTGAAAACAGGACTTTAAAGTAGGCTGAAACAGAACTTTACAGGACCTTAAAGACTTGCCCAAACCAATCCAACATATCTCTACCTTCCCATGCTGCTGGATATACTAGTGAGAAAATGATTTAATGTCTTTGGCCCTCAGTTTCTTTTCCTATAAAACACAGATAACACAGTAGCTACTTCACATGATTGCTTTGAGGAAGAAATGCAATAATACATGCACCATCAGATGGTGGAGCGGTTACATCACTGGATTCCACATGGCCGACTGCAGTTCAGGTCCCAGACACAGTGGCTTGAAACCCATATGGGGCACATGTATGTGCATGTGTGCCCAAGATACCAGAGGGAGAATGGAGGAGAAGGGATTGTGGCGAGGCTATCCCCCCAGGGGGTGATTTCTCACCTTCCCTCTATCTCTGTCCTTCTCTCCAGCAACCAGCAAGTGCACACACTCCAAAGCAAAAAAAAAAAAAAAAAAAAAAAAAAAAAAAAAACCTTAAAAAAAAAAAAAAAGAAATACAGTATTACACACAAGGTGCTCATGCCTGGCATACAGTGACCACCCAAAGAGTGTCTGATCTCCTCGACTGGAAATGCCACAGGGATGGGAACCCCTGTCTGATTCACTGCTGCCCCAAAGTCATGACATATTAGCAAAACTGCAAATACCTGCTGGCCAATAAATTGCCATTTCATCTTTCCTGGATTAAAACTGGTATTTTTCTAAGTTTTGCACACCTATGTTCCACATTCTGATTTCTCTGACCTTCTCTCTTGAAGGACCTGCCTACTTGCTACAGGAAAGAACAGAAAATGTATAAAAACTCATGCTCGGGACCAGCAGTTAGCGTAATGGCTATGTGGCTGGACTCCCATGTAGTTGACTGCGGGTGCGTGTGCGTGCATGCCCAAGATCCAGAGAGGAGAATGGAGGAGAAGGGATTGCAGTATGGCCATTCCCCCCCACCCGGGGCGGGGGGTGATTTCTTGCTTTCTGTTTCTCTGTCTCTGTCTTTCTGGAGAGCACACGCACCCTATAGCAAAAACCTCTCCAAAAAAAAAAGAAAAGAAAACTCATGCTCTAACCAGAGAATACTGATAGCTGAGGGCATGAAATCATTTTTGAGATAAAATTATAGATATTGCTGAAGCCCCTTTGCCCATCGCCCCTATTCTTTTCACCAGAGGCAACCAGTAACACGAATTTGGTGAATGTCATTTCTAACTCATTCCAAAAGAACTCCAAGTTTATATACAAGTTTGTCCAAGAATATAAGGTGGCATTTTATAGGCATTTGTTTACAAAAATGTTACATTTGTGTTTTCCTTCTCACCTAGATCATTTCTCTCAAGTGCTATGTAGGAGTCAATCACATCACTCTGTCACACTCTTATTTATCCTCTCACTTTTTCTGGCCCATGTACTACTACAAATCTATAGATACATATGTAAGAAACTGAAGTAAGTTTCACAATATACTATTTAACCTTATATGCAACTTACTCTCATTCTTTTTAGATTTTATGCAATTTTACTTTTTCCGGAAAGCTGGTCATAAAGCCAGCTCTATGGTACAACAGTAATCCTCCTGTGGAGATTGCTCTCCTCTCTCTCTTTCTCACATGCACCTGCTCTATAGTGAGTTAAGAAAAAAATAAAGACAAAAAAAATATTTAAGGTTTTTCTCATAGGGCATATGTACTCACCAGAGAGAGACAAAGAGAGGGAAAGTGAAAAGCTGCCCCCTTCCAGGGGAGATGGTCATGCCATAATTTCTCCTCCCCCATTCTCTTGGGATTTGGGGCACTATTACAAACAAAGCGTGTCTTACATATATAACTGTACTATGAATACAGGGTGTGTTATGATATATTCTATGAACACAGTGTATGTTACGTGTATAACGTACTATGAACACAGTTTGACCATGTGGAATTCTGGAAAGGAAAGCTGACTGCATCAAATTTTAATGTGATAAAATAATAGCTAACATTCATTTAACCTGTAAGGGAAAAAAATAAAAAAACAAACAAACAAAAAAACCACTATTGCCACCATGACAGTTTTAAGATAAAGAATCTGAGGCACAGAGAGGTTAAGTCTTGCCTCAGGCACAAAAGTGTGAGTAGAAGCAATTTCTTCTAGTAATTTCACTTCTAGAAATGTATTCCCAAGATGTGAACCACAGCTTCCCTCACCCATTCAACAAACACTGCTGGACACCAACCATTTGTTAGCCCATTGCTCTAAGGCTGCGTTTGTGAGCTCTTAATTAACACTCAGATTCTAGGAGGCTGAAAAACTGTCTTTGGGCAACTAGCCTAATTCTGTCACTTGATACTTCAATAATATAACAATTTCTTTAACTTCCTCAAAATGTAAATAAATAAATGAATAAAAAAGACTTTTTGGAGCCTAAATTAGCTATATTTTCCTAAAGGAGTTGGAAAAAGAAGAGTGTCTGACTACTCTTGATAAAGGTGGAGAGAGCACTTTTGTCTCTTAAATACTATCATACATTGACTCCACTGTTCTCAACATGCTTTCATATCCTCTAAACTAACACCCTCACCCCGCACCCCAGGGCCTTCAATGTCCTCTGTGGCCTTCCTTTCTGAGCAGAGCTGGACTCCACCAAAAACAGGATGTCCTTGAATTTATTCACAGGTCATGACAAAGAAAAAGAAGTGCTCTACCTCATGTGAGATCTTTTCACACTTAAAAGATCTATTCACACAAATGATATTTTTCAAGGCCTTCCTCAAAACACCCCTGTGGGCAGACAAATGTTTCCCAACCCAATCTCAATAAGGGGAAAGTATTTCTCTACACCCAGTAATCAACTGACAAGATTTCAATTAGCTTCAAAAAGTCAATTTAAGTTTTATATAACTAGGGGGACTCTAAAGTGATAACAATCTCCATGAAGAATGTGGCAATATCCAGAAAAATCACTTGTGTGTGATTTTTCACTTCTAGTGATTTCACTTCTAGAAATGGATTCCCAAGATGGATTGGCAAAAGTAGAAAATGACTCGTGCACAGTATTATGCATTGTTGTATTATGATTACCAAAAGCAAAAGATAGCAAGGCAACCCAAGATCCCAGTAAGGGAGTATGACAGAGTGTATCAAGAAAAAAACTACTCAGTTGTACAAAGATAAAAGACACTTCATAAACTGATAGAATAATTTCCATGCATTCTTCTCAGTGCCAAAGCAGGGTATACAACAGTATATATAGAATGCTAACCTTTTGAGAAAGAGAATATAAAAATACATACATTTGCTGAAATTTGCAAAAAAGAAATACTAATGAATACATCAATAACTAATTTTTAAAAAACAGCTATGGGAACCAGCAGTTACCGTAATGGCTATGTCGCTGGACTCCCACGTAGTCAACCACGGTTTGTGTCCCGGACCTGGTGGCTTAAAACTCATGCCGGGCGCATGTGCGTGTGTGCCCAAGATCCCGAGAGGAGAATGGAGGAGAAGGGATTGTGGCGTGACCATCCCCCCTGGGGGGTGATTTCTCGCTTTCTGTCTCTATGTCGAGTGCAGGCGCCCTATAGCGAAAACCTCTCAAAAAAAAAAAAAAAAAAAAAACACCAGCTACCAATGGGGAAAACAGTAGGAAGGGGACAGGGAAGAAATGAGACATATCCTGTTATAAAGTTTCCACTTTGATAATATAAATAAACTTTACACATTCAAAAAGAGAATTGCATCAAAAAGAAGCAAAGCAATCCCTGTAGGGGATATAAACAAACAAATCTACCTGTATGTTACAGTAGTGATAAAACTGGGGGCGGGGAAGCACTTAATTCAATGACTTCTCAGTATGCCACTGAGATTACACACACTGAGCAGAATATATGCTCAGGAAAAATCAGTTTGGAAATCTTACATTCCATTCACTATTGTAATATTAGTATTATTTTGAAAAACATATAATAGTATAAATAAGCAATTAATAAACACTGTTAAGAACCAAGGTTTTCAGCATAAGAGAAAAGATTCAGGAATAAAGAAGAAATAAAAAATCCTTCAATGTTGGCCCAGTGGTGCATGTGCAGGTAGCAGGGGTGCTGCTGTGTGATGCTGCAGGCCCTATAAAAAGGCTCTGGGTTCACACTGATATGGAGAGTCCCTGAATTCATGAATAACTCAGGGCTGGTAGCTGCCTGAGGTTTCTACCCTCTGGCAAACTTACTGTCCCTCCTCTGAGCTACAAGGTAACCTGAAACCTTGAATAGGTTAGACTTGCTCTTTCTCTGCCACTTCCATTTTAGGGTAGATTCTGAGCTCCTTCCCCATTTCTAATATTCCAAGACCTCCCCTCCCCAATTCCCCCATAAAAATTAACCCCAGTCGTGTTAACTCCTCAGTGCCCTCTGGTGTAATAAAGAGTTCTCCTTTCTCCCCTGAGTGCCATTTCCATTTCTCAGCGTCTGTTTTTCTACAACATCCCAGGTCTACCTGAACATACCAGACATGCCCATGATCCTGGCTGGCTGCAGGGATGGGGAGAGGACCACAGCATGAAGACCCTTTATCTCTCAATATACT